AGCCTTCCTTATGGTCCAGCTCTCACTTCCATACAGCACTACAGGAAAAACCATAGCTTTGACTATTCGGTCTTTTGTCGGCAAGGTGATGTCTCTGCTTTTTAACATGCTGTCAAGGTTTGTCATTGCTTGTCATTGTCATTGCTTTCCTCCCAATGCTGTCAAGGTTTGGCATTGCCTTCCTCCCAAGGAGGAAAGCAATGACAAACTCTGTTAGGAGTTAGCAAACTGAAAGGGCTTAATGTATTTCATCTGTTTGCTCTCATGTGAATCAGAAGACCAACAAGGCAAAAATCATGACTACAAAAGAATAATGTAGGCTGGCAGTAAATAAATCAAAATTCCTAGAGATTTTCTGTACTTTGGTTCAGTCATCAGCCCAAATGGAGACTGCAGCCAAGAAATCAGAAGAATATTGAGACCTGCAAGGGGAGCTAAGAAAGAGCACATCCTGGAGTGCAAGGATGTAATCCCAGAGACAAAGGCCAAGCTCACCCACACTAGTATTCTCATTTACTATGCATGGATGTGAAAAGCTGGACCAGGAAGAAAACTGACAACTGAAAATTTACTCATTTGAAATATGCTTTTGGAGGAGAGTTTTGTAGATACCATGGACCATCAGAAAGATGAATAAACATAGCAAATCAAGCAAGGATTCTTGTGACTGAACTGAGACTGCTGTACTCTGGGCACATCATGAGAAGGCAAGACTCATTGGAAAAAAACAATAATACTAAGAAAAGCTGGAGACAATGAGAAAGGTGGCGACTTGGTGTGGAATCTTCCTGTCAGATTTCTATCAATTGACTTAAAAAAGAAAAGCCATGGGCTTTAATTTGTAAATCTTGAACAGGACTGTAAATGATAGGAGCTTTAGGAGGTTGTCATAAGCACAGAACAATGAAGTAATAGAATGAATTATTTTAATTTGCTTTTTGTCTATCTACAGTGATCTTGTTGTATTTAAAAGGTTACTACTCCAAGGCTGGAAAGACAAATGCTCACTCTCCATCACCTACCACCTGAGATAGGTGCAAATGTGTGTTCTATAGAGATAAACTTGAAATACATGTTTTACAAGATCAGATTATATTAATGTATTTGTGTCACTACTAGAGACAGGGATGAACTGCCATTTGTCAAGGTTGATGAACCGCAAACCATGAGCCACAGATTTCCATTGGGTTTCAGACATATCACGAACCGGTTCGCCAGTTAGTTGGATCTCTCTTTTTTAGACAGTCTGTGGCCATTTTTTTAAACTGAGCCCCCTGCTTCCACAGCCTGCTCCCCTTCCCACTGCCCTCTTCACCTCCCGACCTTGTCCGCCTCCACCACCACCACCTGTACTGCTGCAGCTTCCATTGCAGCCTCTGCTACCTGTCACTGCCATTGCCGCACCACCATATTTGCAAAGATGGTGGCGATGGCTTCCTTAGGGCAGCAGAGCCTGCCCTGTCTGCCTATGGCCCACCAGTCACCTGATCTGTGGGGCCATACACAGACAGGGCAGGCTCCACTGCCCTAAGGGAAACTTGGCCACCCTTTGTAAAGATGGTAGCTGTGGCTTCCCTTAGGGCAGCAGAGCCTGCCCTGTCTGCCTGTAGGCCTGCCAATCAGCTGTTTGGCAGGCCCATAGGCAGAGAGGAAATGTTAGTCTAGCCTTCCTCCTCTGTCTGTAGACCCACCAATCAGCTGTTCAGTGGGCACATAGGCAGGGAAAGAAGGGTAGGCTGCCGAAACTGAATCCTCTGTTACAGCAGTCTAGACTTCCCTTTCTGCCTATGGAGATGATTTTTTTTTAAAAAAAACAGGTAAATATTTGTCCCCTTCTATTCATTGGAATCTTTGGAATTTATGAATACGAAATGATGACTATTCAACGAATCACCAATTTCTTACGAATATTGCGATTCATTTTTTGTTCTTCCCGATGTCTATCAGCTACAATCGTGCTCAATGCACTTCCTCTTTCTTTTTTAATTTTTAGTTTTTCTTTCTGTTTTTAGGCTGCATGTAAATCCTTAAAAATCACATAAAAAGCAAAAACAGCTGTCAAAAAGATTGATCTTGAGGATGGATAGCAATGAGAAATATTAAGAAGTGGATATAATTTATTATTTTTGTTTCCCCTTCTTTATTAATACACTTAATATGCGCTTCCAAGGATATTCAAGCAGAGGGTATTCTTGCAATAGTATTAGGTAGGATTACCCTCCAGTGGTCCCTGGACTGTCACACTTTGCAGGCCTTTTCTGCAAAACTCCTTTTCAAGCATTCTGATGGTCCCTCCTTTGTTTGTTCTCCTTCTGTTTCCTCCACACCTTTAGATTCAGAACATGCATTATACATCCTTGTTGCTGCTCAAGTTACAGCAATGGAGGGAATTACGTTTTCGTTTTTGTCCACCCAGTATTTATCATGGAAAAATCTGACAGTCATTATTCAAATGCTGTGCACATGAATATCACTGTCATAGAAACAGTCCTGTCAGTCAAACTTTCTCCTCTTCAGGAATTTCAGAAAAAAATATTGTTTGGCTTGATTTTCTAATGGCCTTTTGCTAGTTCTCCACAGACCTTTGAAGGATCGGGGTCTTGGTAACAGCAGCGAGTGTTTGCAATCAGCTTTACCATATGGTGGATTTTTTTTCTGTATTTTCTAAGCAGGGTAAGAGCCAAATATCTGGCATAACAGATATCCAGTGTGGTGTTAGCTCATTTTATAGCAACCACAGGCTTGTCAGATGTAAGCAATGATTCAGAAGAGTCAGCAAAGGAATCTTCCATCAATCAAGAGGTCCAGATCATTCTAATGTCTCCTGTTAATCGGCTGCTCAGTATAGTACTTACCTGGTGTCTGACCTCCTCCTGTTATCCCTACCAAACACTGCAGAATTATATTTTTTCCTCCTTTCCTACATTTTGGCTATGATGTGGTACTGAGCCTTGGGGCTGTCTGCTTATTCATTGTTCCTTTTCTGAAATAATCATAGGCAAGCCACTTCTCGAAGTTAAAAATCTTTCTTTTTATCAATTTGGCTCCTGCTGTTGGAATCACAGAATCATAAAATAATTGAGTTTGAAGTGGCCTATAAGCCCATCGAATCCAATCCTCTGTTAAGTGCAGGGATCCAAATTCAAGTAGATCTGACAGATGGTTGTCCAATTTTCTCTTGAATGCCTCCAGTGCTGGAGCTCTCCCTACTTCCCAAAGCAATTGGTTCCATTGTTGTACTGCTCTAACAATTAAGATGTTTTTCCTAATATTTAGCTTAATCTGGCTTCCTGTAACTTGAGCCCATTATTACATGTCCTGTACTCTGAGATGATCAAGGACAGATCCTGCCCCTCTTTTGTATGACTACCTTTGAAATATTTGAAAAATGCTATTATGTCTCCTCTCAGTCTTCTTTTCTTAATACTAAACATACCCAGTTCTTTCAGTCTTTCCTTGTGAGACTTGGTTTCCTGTCTCCTGATGATTCTTGTTGCCCTTCTCTGAAATTTCTCCAGTTTGTTGGCATCCTTTTTAAAGTGTAATGTCCTGAACTAGTTGAGACCTAACGAGTGTGAAATAGAGGGAGACTAGTACTTCAGGGACATGGTGACATTGTGGGTTAAACCGCAGAAGCCTCTGTGCTGCAAGGTCAGAAGACCAGCAGTTGTAAGATCAAATCCACATGACGGAGGGAGCTCCCGTCACTTGTCCCAGCTCCTGCCAACCTAGCAGTTCGAAAGCATGCAAATGCAAGTAGATAAATAGGTACCACCTTGGTGGGAAGGTAACAGCCTTCCGTGTCTAGTTGTGTTGGCCACATGACCATGGAAATTGTCTACAGACAAATGCTGGAAACAGGGATGAACACCACACCCTAGTGTCAGACATGACTGGCCGAAATGTCAAGGGGAACCTTGACCTTTACCTAGTACTTCAGGGGATTTGGAGAAAATGCTTCTGTTAATGCAGCCTTGAACAGCATTAGCCTTTTTTGCATCCATATCACACTGCTGGCTCATATTCAGTTTTAATCAATGATTTATTAGTTTCTTGCTTATTTGAAGAACAAATAATAATAATTAAAGAACAGGGAAAAAACTAGCATGTTTAGAAAAGGATATGCTATGCATTTGGAAATGTAGATATTAGTGCGCTGAACCAAAGTACTTTGTTGTTGTTGTTGTTGTTGTTGTTGTTGTTGTTGTTGTTGTTGTTGTTGTTGTTGTTTAGTAGTTAAGGCAAGGCTTTTTAATGGTTTTCTGGATTGGGGTGAAAATAGCAGACAACATCTAGCATCTTTAGAAAACTAGATCTTCAGAACTGTGCCAATTTCCAATACTTTTCAGGAGAATCTGGTGACAAACTGTTAGTAATGAGGCAGTTGATGGTTTCAATTCCTCCCCCCCCCAATGAAAATGTCATAAGGTAATATTCACACTGGGGCATTATGTTAAAAAGTAAGAAAAAACATAGGAAATCTTGATAATCTATTAGTAAAGATAAGCCTCCTCCACTAATCATTGTACTGTAATTCATTAAGGCATTTCCAAAATTTCTGAAAAGCTGGAGAAAATTATTCCATGAAAGCAAGAGCAGGAAAATTTCGAGTTCTTCACTGCTAATTTTCAGAATAAAGTAAAGCTTCTAATAATTGAATACCCTGTTATTATAGGATTGGGCTTTCGTGGGACTATTATCTATATGGTCTTCTATTTCCTTCAAGTACAAAGTCAAAGAACAAGGAAGAAAAAGAGACAAGACGTGGGAATGGTGATAGCAAAAAGTTGAGATAATGTCTGAATCCCTGATCCATGGAAATGGAAAATAAGTTCTTTCTTTTCTTTCACTGTCAACACAAGGTATCCACCATGCCACAATACAACAAAAACAGTTGGAAGACTATATATTATATAACCATGATATAACCTCTTGCATAACTGAATACCATAACTGAGGTCTGAATGTAACACTTCTGCTTTGGGTTTTTCACCTGACAGGCTGTTTGCTGTGAAGTGCAGCAACTGCTTTGAAGCAATTGCTCCCAGTGAGTTTGTCATGCGGGCCCAGAAAAATGTGTACCATATGGGCTGCTTCTCCTGTTGTATCTGTGAGAAGCAGCTTCAGAAGGGAGATGAATTTGTCCTGAAGGAGGGCCAGCTGCTGTGCAAGAGTGACTATGAGAAGGAGTGTGAACTACTTAGCCTAGTGAGCCCAGCTGCATCTGATTCGGGTAAGATAGTACAAAGGATTTTTGTCATTGTGTGCCATTGAGGAGGCAGGGGTGGGGGGAACTTGTGCTACTATCATAAAGTTCAAAAATCTGGATGTTGCCCTGCCCCAATAAAGTGGTGCAGTCTAAGTAATCTCCAAAAGTGGAGCTACCCATATATTCTCCCCCCCCAGATTTGTTATTAGCTTGGCAGCCATGGAAAAAGGATGCACCCATTATTTCCACATCTCTGCTTCGTCCCATCTTAAAAGGGTGACAAAGATATTGGTTCTCTTCCACGTCTAATTCTTTCCGTTTTTTCTCTAGACAATAACAGGTAAGTTAATGGGTGTTTTAAGTGCACATTTGTGCTGCACTCTCATAGCTCCTTTGAAAGCAGAGTCATCGCATGATCTCTCTGACCTGAATCAGGTTGATAACTGATGTTTTGATGAAGCATGAACAGTACAAGTGGTGACTCCTGCAGGGGAAGTTCTGAATGGGCTGACTTTTATCTATATTAGAGAGCTCACAGTTGGGTATTACTAAACTTGTACCTAAACAGTTAGTCATATTTTTTCTGCTCTTGGTCATATACTTCTGTTCTGCACAGGGCTATGCTGAACATGTAATTTCTGTGGAGTAACCTGAACAGACAAAGCTTATTTAAGGGGAAGAATGATAGAATTTTGGAGAGCCCCTTCCCACCTTCCAAACATGATTTTGCATGTTTTTGTTTGAAGATGCAGTTTGTCAAAATTTACAGTTTATACCTCTGTCACCTCTATTTGACTTGATTCTTTAGACATCCTCTGTAAAAAAACAAAACAAAAAACAACAACACGTAACCAACAACTTTGAAGTATATGCTAATTCCCTGGAGATACATAGCAAAATGTCTTCCTTTCTGAAGCCTCTTAAGTCCTACTTGATACATGTTTTGCACTTGTAGGGTATATGTTCAGATGTCTTCTCTGTTGATGGTAACAAGCCCCTTGGGAGAATCTGGCTTGCGGGTGCTGTTTCTCTGGGGTTTCTAGTTAGGGGTGCTCTCGCATGAGTGAGATTTGGCTGTCAGAGTCCAGTCTAGGGGCCAGCTGAATCCAGCAATTCAGCAGCACTCCTGACTGCTTTTCTTCATTTTGCTGCCCCCCTCCATGACAGTGCTCTATGAGAGAAGGAAGATAGAACAAACAAACATGAATGTACAGAGCAGCCCCCCCCCTCTCGCCAGCTACAAATTAAAGAATTATATTTACAGTTCACTAGAGATGAAATCTAGCAAAGCTGACGCCGTATCAAGGCAAGAGAAAAAGTAGGAAGAACTGGAGCCTCTCTCTTCCGCTTTCAGAGAGATAGCCATGCTAGTCTGCTAAATGGAAAAACAAAAACAATAGCATTTTAAAGACTAATAAATGTATTTCATTGTGAGCTTTTACAAATTATGGCCCACTTCTTCAGACACAAAGAGCACAATATCTGGCTTGAGCAGATACTGTGCTCCGTTTATATGAAGACATAGAATGTAACCTCATCACACTGAAGTAAGTTTGTCAGCCTTAAGGTCCCAGATTACTCTTGGTTTTATTTTTGTTGTTACTTTTCTGTCGTGTTATAGCGGCATGCCATCTTTGACAATGTCAGTTTTGACAGAGGTATGATATCAGGAAATATAGAGCAAAATTAGCAAAATGCTGCCATCTACTGGCAATCAGATCAGTGAGTGATTATAGAATGAAATAATCTAGAAGGAGAAAGAATGATGCTTGATAATGTGTAACACAGTTACTTTGCCAGATTTTTCAGAAATCAGAAATCAGGGCAGCATCATTTTCTTGGTGAATAAAACCAAGTTGTGATCACATTAAAGCAGAAACGGAGACGACACAGATTTAATTTGCCAAGTTCTCTCTGGAGACCTTTTCTACTGCCATGGCTCTTCTATTGATCTTTTTTGGATAGCATAATCACAGCCAAAGAAACCCTATTTAAAATCTGAACACCATGCCTCAGACATGATGCCACACCAACATCAATGCAGTGGTTTCCTGTTTGTGAGGCATGATGTTGCCATGTGGTATTGACACAGTTCTCCAGCATTGCATTGCTAATTTATGTCTGACTCTGACAGATCCCACAGTTTGGTCAGTTTTCCCATATCTCCTGTTCTGTACAGAATGCACTAAGATCTAACTATCCTGATACTCAGAATTAGTGGCCTCTAATAGCTAGACATGAAACCACAATGTTCACAGGAAGCATAACAATTCTAAGCAGAAGTAAGAGACAAACAACAGAGAATGGCTGCCTGTATCCATAGGGCCTCCGGTCACTGGACCAGATGGACCTCTTGTTTGATTCTGCAGGGTGTAATGTCTCTGTTTTTGGATTAGATTTTTATGCATTTTTTTTAAAGTCACACATTCCCGCCCTATGCCATCTTTACTCAGAAATAAGCTCCCTGCATTGATGGCGTTCACTCATTCATACACTTGCACAAAACTGGGCTGTTAAGCTCTCACATACCAGTGACCCACAATTCCAAACTAAAAATATCACTGCTTGTCCCGACTACAGTGGTAGGTCCTGCCATTGCATAGCATTGGCCCAACTTATTAAAAGCTCTTTTGAGAGCCCACTTGGCTGAATGATGGAAGATATGTTCTTCAAGCAAAATGTGGAAGGGGAAAAATACCTTGTCGATTACACTTAATCTGTTTCACCAGTCAATGAATTATAATGCAATACCTTGTCGATTACACTTAATCTGTTTTACCAGTCAATGAATTTTCATATCAGTCAGAGTGTTTATCTCTCAGGCCCTCATCAGAAATATGATAGAGCAGGGAATGCAATACAAAGTTAGGGGCACTATATGAGAAATTGACTCTAAAGAGCAAAGCATTTGAAGCCATATGTCATCCATAATCTGCAGTACCCTTAGTTTAATTATTCCCTCCCCTGAGCCCCAGTGTCAAGCCTAAGTAAACAGGGGCTCATGAAAGAAGAACCTGCTTTCCAATTAAAAGTGTACTAACGTTTCTCCTTTCTCTAATTCCCTCAAACCAAAGAATTTCTTCATCTTCGTGCACTAAACCAATTCTTCATCATTTCCCCCTGTAAAGCCTTGGGGTTGCACAGAGGTCACTACAGACAATGTACACCGCCTGTAGTTTTTTACCATGTGACATCAAGGGAAATCTTAAAGATTAATTAATTTCTACCCTGTTCATTGAGGCCTGGAAAGCACAGTTAATTAAAAGCAGTGCCACATTAAAGCAGAATAAACTTTCCATCGTTTGGAGGGATTTGGTGAGCAGGTGTTTGAGGTGGTGGGGGCACTGTGCCACTTTTCTTTCACAGGATAGGATTCCCTCACCAGTCTCTACATTGTTTCTCTCTTCCCCCCCTTTAACCATTTCAAAGCTTTTCCTATTTCATTCTTCCATCTAATCAGAGGTGGGAAATATTTTATATCTTATTCTCTGAATAGCCATCCTGTGAAAATGGAACAGGAACTCCTAGCAGTAATGACACATAATAATGACAACATCTATCATATTTTGAATGTGATTATTACTTCTAAGCATTTGGGGTTTTTTACCTGAAGCCCCCAAACTATATCAGTTGCATTAACAAGCTTACACATTAAAAAAAAAAAACTTTAAACGTAAATCACTATCCTGCTGCTCATCCTGACTAGTACAGAATCACAGACCTAATAAGATTTACGTTAAGTGCTGACTTACCATTTAGGAATTAGTTCAGTGTGTCTGCTCTCTATCTGAGACTAGCAATAGGTTACTGCCTTTTTTTAAAAATGAAAGCATGGGACAAACTGATCTACAAGGAAATGCATAGCAATGGGAAGAAAGTGAAAGGATGGGTAAATAGCTAGGAAATTAAAGCAGAAAAAAGTCAGATAACTTCTTTTACAAAGAGGATGTTTAGTATGTTGCTTCACAGATTGCTGCCTTGTTGTGGTGAAGGGGCTTGAGTAATTCAGATAAGCTATTGGCTATGCTGTACTGGGACACCCAAGACAGACAGCTCATAGCGGAGAGTTCAGACTAAACGTGATCCACCTGGAGCAGGAAGTGGCAAGCCACTCCAGTATCTTTGACAAGAAAATCCCATGGACAGAAACAAAAGGTTAAAAGATATGACACTGGAAGATGAGCCCCTCAGGTTGGAAGGCATCCAACATGCTACTGAGGAAGAGCAGAGGACAAGGACAAGTAGCTCCAGAGCTAATGAAATGGCTGGGCCAAAGCCGAAAGGACGCTCAGCTGTGGACGTGCCTGGAAGTGAAAGGAAAGTCCGATGCTGCAAAGAAAAATACTGCATTGGAACCTGGAATGTAAGATCTATGAACCTTGGGAAGCTGGATGTGGTCAAACAGGAGATGGCAAGAATAAACATCGACATCCTGGGTGTCAGTGAACTAAAATGGACGAGAATGGGCATATTCAATTCAGACAATTACGATACCTACTATTGTGAGCAAGAACCCCATAGAAGAAACAGAGTAGCCCTCATAGTTAAAAAAGAGTGTGGGAAAAGCTGTACTGGGCTACAATCTCAAAAATGATAGAATTATTTAAATATGAATCCAAGGCAGACCTTTCAATATCACAGTAATCCAAGTTTATGCACCAACCACCGATGCTGAAGAGGTTGAAACTGACCAATTCTATGAAGACTTACAACACCTTCTAGAACTGACACCAAAGAAAGATGTTCTTCTCAGTATAGGGGATTGGAATGCTAAAATAGGGAGTCAAGAGATAAAAGGAACAACAGGTACGTATGGCCTTGAAGTTCAAAATGAAGCAGGGGAGTTTTGTCAAGAGAACAAGCTGGTCATCACAAACACTCTTTTCCAACAACACAAGAGATGACTCTACACATGGATATCACCAGATGGGCAATACCAAAATCAGATTGATTATGTTCTCTGCAGCCAAAATTGGAGAAACTCTATTCGGTCTGCAAAAACAAGACCTGGAGCTGATTGTGGCTCTAATCATCAGCTTCTTATAGCAAAATTCAAGCTTAAACTGAAGAAAGTAGGAAAAACTACTGGGTAGTCAGGTATAATCTAAACCAAATCCCTTATGAATACACAGTGGAAGTGAAGAACAGATTTAAGGAACTAGATTTGATGGACAGAGTGCCTGAAGAACTTTGGATAGATGCTCGTAACATTGTACAGGAGGCAGCAACAAAAACCGTCCCAAAGAAAAGGAAATTCAAGAAAGCAAAGTGGCTGTCCAACGAGGCCTTACAAATAGCAGAGAAAAGGAAACAAAATGCAAGGGAGATAGGGAAAGTGACAGAAAATTGAATGCTGACATCCAAAGAATAGCAAGGAGAAATAAGAGGGCCTTCTTAAATGAACAATGCAAAGAAATAGAGGAAAATACTAGAAAGGGAAAAACCAGAAATCTGTTCAAGAAAATGTGGAGATATTAAAGGAACATTTCATGCAAAGATAAACGTGACAAAGAACAAAAATGTGAGAGGCCTAACAGAAGCAGAAAACATCAAGAAGACGTGGCAAGAATACACAGAGGAATTATACCAGAAAGATCTGGATGTCCCAGACAACCCAAATAATGTGGTTGCTGACTTTGAGCCAGACATCCTGGAGAGTGAAGTCAAGTGGGCCTTAGAAAGCACTGCTAACAAGGCCAGTGGAGGTGATGGCATTTCAGTTGAACTATTTAAAATCTTAAAAGATTGTTAAGGTGCTTGGTCGATGAGACCAAGATAAACTTACTATTTGGTTCAGGTGGTGTCAAGTGTGTGTGGCAGAAACCAGTTGATCAGTACAAAGGCAACTGTGTCATGCCTACAGTCAAGCATGGTGGTGGGAGTGTAATGGTCTGGGGCTGCATGAGTGCTGTGGGCACTGGGGAGCTACAGTTCATTGAGGGAACCATGAATGCCAACATGTACTGTGACATACTGAAGCAGAGCATGATCCCCTCCCTTTAGAGACTGAGCCGCAGGGCAGTATTCCAACATGATAACGTCTCCAAGCACAACTCCAAAATGACCACTGCCTTGCTAAAGAAGCTGAGGGGAAAGGTGATGGACTGGCCAAGCATGTCTCCAGACCTGAACCTGAGTGAGCATCTGTGGGGCATCCTGAAATGGAAGGTGGAGGGGCGCAAGGTCTCTAACATCCACCAGCTCTTTGATGTTGTCATGGAGGAGTGGAAGAGGAATCCAGTGGTAACCTGCAAAGCTCTGGTGAACTCTATGCCCAATGCATCCTGGAACTCTGCCTGGCTATGGTTATGGACTGATTGAGGGCTAATAGGCTAAAATTGAATCCTGACAAGATGGAGATCCTATTGTTGAGAGGAGACCCTGATTGATTAGGAGGCTTTTAATCTGGTCTAAATCAGGTCACACTCCCCCTGAAGGATCAGGTTGGTAATCTTGATGTGCTTCTGGACCTGGCCTTCTCCATGGAGAATCAGACCTCAGCTGTAGCCAGGTCTGCCTTTTTCCGAATTAGGCAGATTGCATACCTTCACCCCTGTCTCAATGGGAAGTTCACAACATTAGTTCATGTACTGGAAATCTTGAAGATAGGTTTTTGCAATGCTATCTACATGGAACTGCCCTTGAAGGTGATTTGGAAGCTTCAGCAGGTGCAAAACACAGCTGCCCAGTTGCTATCAGGAACATTGAAATATGATCCTATTGCTCCTATCCTGTCCTGTTTGCACTGGCTGTCAGTATGCTTCTGATCCAAGTTCAAGGTCCTGATGTTGACATTCAAAGCCCTAAATGATTTAGGACCTTGCTGCTTGTAAGAACACCTGTCCCTCAGAAAGACTTCCTGCCCAACCTGTAACTCCTAAATCATTATGTTATGCGTGGCCACCCCACGGGAGGACTGGGAATCTGCAACAAAGAACCATGGCCTTCTCAGTGGTGGCTGCCTCATTGCGGAAGTCCCTCCTAGTGGAGATGCAAGAGGCCCCTTCCCTCCTTGACTTTATGAAATAAGTAAAGACTTGACTTTTTACTCTGGCTTTTCACAGTCTTACCCCTGCTTAATCTTGTTCTCTGTAAATTTTTGACAACTCACTCTGTTTTAATCTAGATTTTCTTATATAGTTAGCCTTGGAAGAGTTTTTTTTCTGTTTGACATTTTAATTTATGCCAGTTATTGAATTTTATTTTATGTCTATGTTGATGTCTCAATTGTAAGCTGCTCCCCCCCCTTTCTGTCTCGCTATAGCCTGAATCATTTGTATGATCTAAGAAGAAGATCCATGGTAGCTTCATTGGAGTAGCTTTTGTGGGCAGTTCTTCCAACTGTGGCAGACTCATTTTAAGGAAAATTTGCTTTGTGAATCATGCTATTTTGGATTCTTTTTATCGTTTCAGGGAAAAGTGATGATGAAGAGATCCTCTGTAAAACAGGAGGCAGCAGCAGAAAAGGGCCTGAGGGAACCAAGGACCTCAAGAGGCCCAAGAGGCCGCGGACAATTCTAACGACACAACAGCGACGGGTATTCAAGGCATCATTTGAAGTGTCTTCTAAGCCATGTAGGAAGGTACAGTTTTAACAGTCAGAAGAGAATGGAATCATCTTTGCTGACTACCAGCCAAGATCTCGTTGTAAGCCATGACCACATAGGAACTTCTTTTTTACATAATTCATGGACATAGTGAGCAGAAGGTAATACTTTAAATTCAGGCCTCCACCATTTTTAAAATAAAGAACGGCACCCAATAGCCATGGCTTGATATTTGGCCATGAGTCCTGAATAGACCACAAGAGGGATTTACTGAGCCTCTAGTGGTACATTGTGGTCATTGCTAGACTAAGTTAGTGAGTAGAGACTGATTATGCAGATCTGCTTTAGTTTGGTGTCTCAGCGGCAAGTAAAGGCATTGTGTACTTTTAATTTGGGGGGGGGAACAACTAAGTTAAAAAGGTGCCTTTTGCCTCATACATTTTGAGAGTTTTAAAATGCGACTATTGAACCCCAAAAATGAAATAAAATCGATTTCTTAAGATTATTAATTTTAGTGTGACTTTTTGAGATCCGTTGCAAATTCCGAAATTTTGTGACAGTTTTAAAAATGACAGTCTTGAAATCTATTTCTGTATAGAATGTCTTGTACATTTGGTATCTTGTTGATTGCTTTGACTTTGTTTAAAATAATATTATGTCTGTTCTCACATTACGTGAAGGTGAGAGAAACACTGGCAGCAGAGACAGGATTAAGTGTCCGAGTTGTACAGGTCTGGTTCCAGAATCAAAGAGCTAAGGTAATCTTCTTTCTTATACAGTGCACTACATTATGGCATGGGGAACTTTTCTCATTGTTAGATAGGGAGAATACAGATCTAAAGAGACAATTTATTCTTTAAAAGATCTAAAAAGACAGTTTATGTCTAAATTGTCATACATATAGGTAGACTGGTAGAAATTTCGATCTATTTTCTGTGAACTCAGTCCAGCCACCATATCAAGGAGAGCACTTAACCTTCCCAAGGAGCACACAAGATTTGAGGATCACCCATCTCCCGGCTGTCTCGATGTTTAATGCTTTGAAAGCCAATATAGTGTAGCAATTAGAATGTTGAGCTAGAACTCAGGAGACTTGGGTTCAACGTCCACTTCGCCATAAAATGTACTAAGTGACCTTGGGCCAGTCACAATCTTCCAACCTGATCTAATTCAGAAGAGAGTTGTGATGATAAATTGGGAAGGATAACCACGTATAGTATGTTAGGATATGCATATAACAAAGAAGTGAACAATTAAATAAAGACATTCTCAAAAGATAATTGGGAATGAGAATGCATAGGCATAAAGCAGTGTCTGTCATCATTCATAGGGAAGGAACCATGCCAGCTTCCATATTAGGCATTTGGTGTAGAATTGCAGTGTAATGTTCATTCACATTTTATGAGAAGTCTGAAGTAACCCCTGAACAGTTTGATAAATCAGTTGTTCATGCTTACTCCAAAATAGTGCCAGTTTACTAGCTCCAGGAGACACTCATCTGGATGCAACTGTGGTTCTGTTTAACAAATGTTACGGGTATAGTATAGGATCTAACCACAGGGAAACCATCTCTTATACTATTCCAGATGGTAATACAACTGGAAAGCACTGGGCAGAATGGTGTCTTCTTATACAAAAATAGCATATTTTGATTTTTGCAAATTACTGGAAGAAAAGCAGCAAAGAAAAGAGATATATTTGGAATAGAAATGCTCACAAGTTCCTGAAAATTATGGATAACTGTGAATATAGCATTAAAGGCAGTTGTGAATAGGCAAAATCTATACTATATGGAAGGAAGTAAAATACCAGTCTAGCCTTGAAAATCTAAATGTGCAACACATGGATAGCTACATCTTTAGGGAAAAAAGTCAGCAACCTATTCAGGAAATGCAGAGTGGAAAGGCAATTGCCTAAGTATTCCATCCTCGCTGTCAGGTTCTCCTTTGCATGCCCAGTCTTGAATTGGTTGGAAACTCATTTAAATGTCAAGTTGCATGATAGCTTGTGCAATGGGAGGTTGCTGGAGTGTGTAGGTTTCTTATGTGATTGCCCTTCCACTCAGAACAGAGTTCAGGCTAAAATATTGACACTCAAGAAGATCTAAAAGGTTTGCCTAAATATTTCATTTTAAAATTCTGAAAGAATGGTCAGGATACAGTATACGTAAGCATATGTATATGCCTACCTTCAAAGTATGGTTAGATTACTCAGATTTAAAGGAAAGTAAATATTGTTCCTGAAATATGTTTGCCTACTCATAAAACCTCTAATAATTCTTGAAAATACCATTATGAAGTCTTGATGAAGAACAAAGAGGCGTAGATGATTTGGGCACAACTTAATCACCAACGTAATAAATATTGAAGGAAATTCTAAGGTTTAAAATCAGTATGAAAAGTCATATTGTCAAATGTGATGTTTAAACTGACACATGAAAATCAACAGCACAAGAGATTTCTGCCAGAAGCAGGTTAGTTTCCTGTGTTCTTCAAGCTAAAAATGCATTACTCTTCAAGCAATATTAGCGTTTCTGTGTGAGATTGACTGTATGAACACACAAGCCTTATATTTGCATTGGTTCCTTGGAAAAAACATTGCAAAGTAAGTGGGGAGGCTGAATGTTGTGTAAAATGTTACTAAGCAAAAGAAGACAGTGGAGGAAGACAGGGTTAAACTGCTGTTAGGGATAAGGCTAGAAGAGAAATCACAGGGCATATATGTTTTCTGAGGACAACACAGAAGGCAGGACTGAAGCACTATCTACAGAACAGCTGGATATATTTTCACATGTCTGTGAGCTGCCAGTATTTTTTTTTTCCTGAACAGAACTGTCAAGGACTTTAGAGTGCAACAACAACACCATGACAAGTTTGGTATATTATGATTTCTAATCTTCTCTGATATAATAGAGAAACTGGTTTTCTCTAATCTATCTTTCCCTTTTGATAACAGATGAAGAAACTAGCAAGACGACAGCAGCAACAGCAGCAAGATCAGCAAAGTACACAGAGGCTCACATCTGGTATGGTCTACCTCTAACCCTCATCTGGCATGGGGACCATCTGTTATCTCTTCCTATAAAACCACCATCTGCATCTGAGATGCCAAAAGTGGGAGGTAGATTCCCATCTTATGGAGGCATCAGGAATTTCTAAGCAGGAGGATTGAATGCCTTGCTTTCAACTTATATTCTATACATCCTTTATTAGCTCACAACATGGGAAGTAGGAAGCCCACCTGAGAATATGGGATGGTAGAGCAGGAGCCAAGAAAGCAACACTGACCGTGGGTGGTCAGTGTCATACAGCTCTACAATTTGCAAAGCTTTTTTGTGTGTCCTTAAAGAACCAGTTCTCGAAGTAGTTGGGATGGGAAAGTATGATGGCAGATTAAATAAACTCACGGCTTTGATTCTCTATCTTCTAGCTCAAACAAACAACAGCAACAACAGTGGCCTTGAAGGAATCTTGAACTCATACACTACTTTGCAACCACCCTCACAACAAATACTGATAATTGATCAAAGTGTCTGCAGCTCTGAATCCTTCCGGCAAGGGCTTACTCCACCACAGATGCCAGGTGACCACATGCACCCTTATGGTGAGGATCAAAAAGCTCTACATCTCACAGTTCTGAGAGATCCAAAACTCATTCAGAATTCAAATCTGAATTTCTCCATCACAAATAGCCCTGAATGTCCAATTGCTTTTTTGTCTGTGTCCCTCTGCTTTTTTTATGTAAATCTCAAAGGGTTTGAGGCTGTATCTGAGTTTGAGGCTATATCTGAATAAAAGCAATTTAGGATCATGAGTAGCTATAGAGAAGATGCCTAAAATGTCCTAAACATCTTGGAATTCCCTTTGGCCAAGCATATGGGTTACCAGAAGTTCAGAATTTTCAGAATTGAAAAGAATTTTTGTAGAACTTTTAAAGATAATTTTTGTACAAGTTTTTGGTAGTTAGGCATAAAAATGGGAGCCTTTAATGTTTTATCCATTTCACTGATACAGATTTTATGTTTATCCATTTTGGGGTCCCAGGAGAGTTCTGATTGCACAGCTTAGAGGTATGTTCTCATGGACAAACTTCACTGAAAAGAATGGAAGTGGCTCAAGAGTGCTGCTGTTGCCTTGAGCAGCTTCCATTCATTTCACCGGTGTCTGCATTTGAATCTTCTAAAAAGCTGTGCCTCGACTGAACGAAACCTTTTTCTTCATCTGCCCTGCAGGTTCTGAGCCTCTTTTCTGTGAGCTGGATAGTGAAGACACCTCTCTCAGCAATGTGGGTGACTGTTTCATAACAACGAGAGAATCTGGGTTCCTACAGTCAAGAGGGGGAAACCCCATTGACCACCTGTACTCAATGCAGAACTCTTACTTCACATCATGAGGCATTTGAGTCCCTAATTCTAATTTCATTTTCAGATTAAAACATAGTTTGGTAAGGTAGAAATGTCTCCCGCCAAAATATTTGCACTTTTGAAATATTTATCTTTTTTACAATCGTTTTTTTTTTTTGGCATAGTAGTTTCTTCCAGCTGTTGCTGATACAGTTTTGTTTTCTTTTGGTTGCTGCTTTTTTCATATTCCTGAATTAGCAATACTTATTCAGTCAGGGATAAGATAATCGTTACTATAATATAATAAATCAAATGACAAGGATGGCATCGGAGTATTATGAAATTCAATTTGGTTGCAAAAATGACATCACTATGAACATGTGGAAAGAAATAAAACATGAGCATTGTGTCCAATAACAAAATAATAGAAAACAAGAGTTGTGTTTTTTTTTTAATCATTTTGTTTTGTCAAAAGAGAAGACTAGAACCATACAGATGGCATAGTTCCTGCAGAAATAGAAAACCAGGAGCTCTTTAACTATTCTCGGAGGTGACATCCCTATCTGAAAGCAAGGATGTTTTTCTGGCATGACGGTGAGTGAATGTGTGCTTGTAGAAATGAAGCACAAATATATGCAACATTGCGTCACATTTATGCCTAATGGCACAAAAATACCATGCAGGGAAACCAACATTATTTTCTGTGTGAATCATGTTTAAGCACTAGTTTAGTGCTGCTAAGTTATGGAAAGGGCTTCATTTTTAAGAGACTGTGCACACATCCCAAATTGATAGCCAAATTGGTCTCATTGGGATGGATTTTTATATAGTTTAGATCGAAGAGGAATAGTCAGATTCATATCTGGGGTGAAAAAAGTGAATTTACGAATATGCTTGTCTCTGGAGCACAAACTAAATTGGATAAGGCCTATATTTCTTTCAGCTTTTTTTCTTATTTTAAAAGCAAGCTTTACAGGTGCCAAGTACATAAACCACTGAAGCTAGGTGTCTGAAATGTGGCATGTTTACTAACCACTTTATGGTTTATCATGTCTTCAAATTTTATTTACATCAGTACTAAAATAAAAAAAATCAACGACCAGGTTTGGTTTCCCAATGCAAGCAATAGGAATTTGCTTGGAATGGAACAGAATATATGCCAAAGGCCCAAAGTGGCCCCCAAATCAGATTAGAAGAGCTGTGTATGATCCTACTGTCCAGCCTCTTCTTAAATATCTCCAACCTGCCAGCTCTTGAGGCAGTCTGTTCCTTTAAGCTCTCACCACTAGGGTTTTTTCCTAGTTGAGATGAAATCTCCTTTCCTATAACTGCTATCCATTGGTTTTAGCATTAAACAAAGAACAGGTCTGTTCTGTCATCTGTGTTACTGGCTTCCAACTATCTGAAAAACAAGATCATGTATAATGATCGACTGTTCTTGGTGCTCCCAGTTCATTCAGTTAAAGGTTTCCAGCTCCACTGTCATCCCAGTTGCACTCCACTTTGTTGAACATTCTTCTTAAAATGTGGTACCTAGAAAATGGACGCAGTACTAGAATGCTTACAAATCCAGCAACAGATCAGAATTATTGTTACAGCTTTTTCTATCACAGATTCTAAGACGACATGCCCACTTTCCCATATCCCATGTTGACCAAGAGTAAATCCAGAACATCAGGTCCCCTCATTCCTTTTTCATTTTCTGAGAGACAGAACTACGATCAAGGGAAATAAAAAAAATATATTGCTTGTTCTATTTTTAGCAGAGGTAGCATTCCAGCGGATGTTGGGTTATCTGAAATCACCATTAATGTTATAGCCCACTTCTGTGAATGTCTTATGATCTGTTCCATCTCCCCCAGATGATCAGCAGAATGAACAAAAGGTTGGGATAGTTAGATCTTGGGTGAGCCAGCATGACATTTCTGTTTATATTACATTAATGACAGGTAGCTACATGGTTTGTGTTAACAGTTTGCATCAACCTCAGATAAAAGTGTCCAGATGATGTGGGATAGGTGTGCTGTCTTCCTGGAGGATGGGTTAGGAATGTAAGACAAGGATTGCTGTCACTCATAAAATTGCATATCCCTTGCCTCTCATCCATATGGGAACAAATGATACAGCCATGAGGAACTCTGAAGATGTCAAATCAGACTTTGAAGCTCTTCAAAGAAAACTCAAGGACTTTGGGACCTTGATAGTCTTCTCATCCATTCTACCAGTACCCAAAAGAGGAATAGAAAAGGAAAGGAAAAATACTTCGGGTGAATGACTGACTACAAAGGTTATACTGATGAAAGAGATTTGGGTTTTGGGACAGTGGGCCATGCTTCCTGGAAGATGGACTGCTGGAAAGTGATGGGTTGCAGCTAACAAGAACTGGGAAGAATGTGTTTGGCCACATCATGAAGACCTTTATCAGATGGACTTCAAACTGAATTGAAAGGGGGAAGGAAGTTCAGAGGTAAAGTTAGATGAAGACTTATGTACAATATGGGGAGAAAACTGATGGGGGTGGAAAAATGATAAAATGACAAGGAAGAAAGCAAAAGTGCTCAGTTCCTACTTTAAATTGGTCTTTTCTTAAGAGAAAGTCTATGACCCTATTTAAAGTACAAAGGGAAAGGACAGGATTACAACTTGAGATTGATAAACGTATAGTCAAGGAATTTTATATTACTTTGAACAAGTTCAAATCCTGAGGGCCATGTGAACTGCATCCAAAAGTACTGAAAGAACTGGCTGAAGAACTTGTAAGAACCATTGTCTGTTATTTTCTTGAATTCATGGAAGATGGGTGAAGTGGAAGATGGGTGAAGGGCAAAAAGGAGGAAGTTGGAAACCACAGTAAAAATATTACTCTTTCATTAAACCTTTATTGCCTCAAAACTCAGTGGACCCAGAAGAGCAACTTTTGAGTAAGATAATCAAACCAAATTCATGACATGTATGACTAGATGACAAAGATGCAGCAAGTCATAAATCATCCTTAGGAACAACATTACAGTAGCCATTCTAGGCAAAAAATTGATATTGTGAAAAGTAGCCCAGTATGGTGACATCTGAATAGGGCAACCCAATCAAATTCACCCATCCCATCCAACTAAAGGGGACCAAAGCAGTCATCCCCCAAACACCCCCAGGAACAAGTTGCCAGTACCTGTTCTGGACACAAAATTGATATTGCAAAAAGCAGCCTGGAATGGTGACTTCTGAGGAGGGCAATCCAGCCAAATTCACCCTGATCCAACTAGAGGGATCGATGCAAACAGCTCACAAATGCCCCCCAGGATACAGTTGGTATTGAACCACCAAAATGTTGATTCATCTTGGTTTATGTTTCATCAAGGTTCACAAACCATGAACCACAAGTTTCCCCCATGAACCGACGAAACACAAAATCAGTCAGCCTGTGGCTGTCTAAAAAGAGAGAGAAAAGCTGAGTCTTGAGCCCCCTGCCCCCACAGCCAGCCCCACCCCATCGCCTTCCCACTGCCCCTTTGCTTTCTTACTTTTACCACTGCCACAGTCTCTGCCACTGTGACTATTGCTCCTGCCACAATCTTTGCAAATATGGCAGCTTCAGCTTCCTGTAGGCCCAGCTGTGATGCCGGAAGGGAAGCCACTGCCACCACCATCTTTGGAAAGGGTGACTGCAGCTCCCCTTAGGGCATCAGAGCTGGCCCTAAGGGAGGCCGCTGTTGCCGTTTGTAAAGATGTCGACATTGGCTTCCCTTAGGGCATAGGAGCTACATGCATACACATATGAAAAACTACATATCCATATGAAAAACCAGTAGTTATATGCTTACAGATTTTCAAGCACAATCAATGTGCTATTATTAACATTCAGAGACTTAACTTGTTGGTAGCAGGACTGCCTTTGTATAACTCTTTTCGAAACCATTCATGTATGTATTTTAGTATACAATATTGGCTATTATCATAATAGTACTCTCATAGTATACAATGTTTTCAAAATCTTCTAACAATATACTTAATAAAAGTAATTCCAGTTCCAAATTTATATAATTTGAGGTGATTTAACTGACAAACTTTGTAATTTATACCATTGAAAACTGTAAGCTCTTAACACATAATAGATATTATCTAGAGCATTTTATACAAATTTTCTTTGTATACTTGTTTAGCCATTTCTATCTCCATATTTTCTATCCTATCTATAACAATATCATATCTAATGCACGTTCATTATGTACTATTTGTTTACCCCAATCTTATATCTAGCTTCAATTTGCCTTTTTAAAGCCCCACCACCACCACATTATGCCTTTACCCTGATTAGTGCTCCCTTATTTCAATTTAATTCTTAACATATAAGATATGCCCCTTTGCAATTTCAGAAGTTAGATATATGCATGCTTTCCAACATTGAGAGCCACCTTTCCCCCTTTTTTTAATCTTTCTAAGTAATTCCTTCTCTTAATCTTTTTTCAGTTTTTGTTTCTGTCTTTCTAAACACTCTGCCATCTTTTGTGTCCTCTGAGGCCATTTTATGCATTTGTTTTACCTCCAATAGATCTTTATACACTTGGTCTATCTCCAATAGATCTTCCAGGCTATTTTTAATTGATTCTGCTGATTTTCTCCCCTTATCTTCTCTTAAAACTCTCCTCAATTTCACTACTTTTCCCCCATTAATTTACTCCAACCTTCTTTAGGTTGGCATACACCATATACCACCTCTCATTTTCTTGTTCATTATTTCCTGTCTCTTCATTGTGGAATCTCAATATTTCTAAGATTGCCTGAAGGGTAGATTTTGTTTCTTCCCAAAATTGTCCTTATTGTGTCATTATGTTCCAATTGTCAAAAAATGTATTCTAAGTTAAAGTTGTCCATATGCTTAATCAATCCAGTTCCATTAAGCTTGAATCCAATCTCCAACATACAGAGTTTTCATGGCCTGAAGGCTCAAGGTCCCATCCAGTTCAACATCCAGGGTACAGTTTATAAGTTCTATTTTGGCTAAATTAGGCTTTCTAGGGTTAACTTGTCTGTAGCACTATGGGGCTGTATATAAGCAGCACGCTTTACTTTTTTGCTTTGTATTTCAGTTCTGTCTTCAAAGAGAAAGGGAATTCCAAACAGTCTATAGAACATTCAAGGCCTTTGACTCTAGGCATTTTGCCAGTGCCTTAGCTGTTTGACATAACATAAACAGGTTTCATTTTGCAAAGTTGTCAGTAGTGTTTTCAGGAAAAGGATTCTTAAGTTTTAAGCCTCCTAGAGTGGCCACAATAGACCAGATAGGCAGGGTATAAATGAAATAAATAAATAAATAAATAAATAAATAAATAAATAAATAAATAAATAAATAAATAAA